CCCCCCCCCCCCCCCCCCTTCCGGTACCCTGGTGCCCCCGAACTACCGCTGCTCCCGCGCATGTCTGGATTGCTAGATGAGGGACGTGTTATGTTCACAAAACGTATTGAGCTTGTTGCGGTGTTAGTTTTTTTTTGCCCAGGCTAAATAGGTGGGAAAAAGCAAGAAAAACCTGTCGCTCGTACAAGAATAGCACTTCCCCCGTTACACTGCTGCTGTTTCGACTGCTGTGTCGATTGATGGAATGTTGGCGTTTGTCTGCCGTCTTTGGTGTTTTGCCTTGACAAATGATCGTCATTTATCACACTCGGTTTTGTGGTTGATTGTTTCTCTCTCTCTCTCTCTCTCTCTCTCTCTCTCTCTCCCTCTCTTTCTCTCGCTCGCTCTGATTCTATGACTGCAACTCTTTTCTTTTCAGAGCAGTGCATGACGGTTAAGGATGACGTTTTTTCGTCCTGTTTTCTTTTCCTTTCTTTTTTCACAACAGGACCGTCGAAGTGTTCGATCCCCGCTCGGAGAAGTGGAGGGTCGAAGAACGTTTCGGGGCTGGCGACGGGGGCCGGGCCGTAACCGACGCCTCCCTGGTTTTCCAGTCTTGAGGCCTCTTTTAATTTCTTTGGCGGCGTACACATTTCTTTACTTTTTACTCCGGGGTATATGTATGTAGGATGTGTTTTTACCGAGTGATGATAGCGTCTTTGGCCTTTTGTTGTTGCGTTTTTCTGGCGATCAGCCCGCAACCGCGGAGATTCCAAGCTTCTTTCTTGAGGAACGATTGCGTAAAGGTCGAAACGGTTTGCCCAAGGCGGAAGTAATACATGAACCGTGACAAGAAGGTATCTTGCCACGTTAATTAAAGTATCATATTAAGATTCAATTTTTAAGTCGCGAGTTCGAATCTGCGGTGTGGCATTGTATGATGTCCCGCGCGATTGTGTTTTTGTGTTGGGAGGCTATCATATCTTTAGTTGGATAAACCTTTGACGGAATTCAAGCAGTAAGTGCATGGGAGGAGTATTCAACGAGGCCGATCTTTCGTGTCGACCTACACACGAATGGATCTGGCATAGTTTCCTTCCCCCGACAGTAGTGCTGTATGTGTTGTCCTGGTTTTGCACAGGTGTTGGCGTGTCTGTCTGCCCCCCACCCCCCCGTCGTTGTTGTTCCACAGAATAGGGAGACGGCCCATGTTGAATACCGAGGGTGTCCGTCCGTGTTTCGCGTCCATACAAGTTGTTTTTCGTTTCGACCCGATCCTTGACTGCTTACGTGTGTGTTTACGTCCGTTGTTTTGGCGTTAATGGTGTGCTAGACTGGAAACACTTCATGGGCGGGTTTCATGCCATCGAGGAACAAAACGCTAGAATCGCTACGAGTCCACGATTCTCCCGAACTTGTGGGTGTTCATTTCAAGGAATGTTTTACGTCTCCTCTGCAGTAGAAGTTTTTTAGTTTCAGGGCTAGAGCTCGGCTGTCGATGGAGAGGTACGAACAATGTCTACTCCTTTGCTCACAGTGCAAAGTAAGTCCTCACGATGAGCGACGACCGTGGCGAACTCGGGGCACGTGTAGATTGACGCGGACACAGTAAAGACAGGAATTGTGGTGGAGACTAAGAGAGGGAAAGAGAAAGAGGTAGTGGGAAAGAAGTGATACGATAGGGGCGAAGAAGGTGGACAGCCATCGACCATCAAAATCATTGAAGCGTGCACCTTCATCCGGAATAAGGGGGACTTTTAGATACAACTCTGGTCAGAGGGGCTTATCCCGCCGGCGTTGGAGTCAGACGTTCTGGTTCTTAGGACCCCAGGTCCCCCAAAAAACATTGCAGCAATCGCCGTTCTTGTTGGCGGTAGTCTGGTTGGTTTTCGTCGGGCGATGGCAACTAAACAACTGAGTTTGCAGCGTAACTCTTCGACTACGTCGTGAAGTTGTTCGGCACGTGTGTCGGTTTGACTCTGTGGCGTCTATTCAATTGGTCGGCCAAAGTGAGCGGCCGATACCAGTTTCAAGCCTTCTTCAACCAAAGCAACACAAAGAAGAAATACAACNCCCCCCCCCCCCCCCTCGCCAGGCTGAAACATGCCATCGTACGTGAAACCGAAACGATTTTGAGTCTCCCCGCGTGGTGATTTTCGGGCCTAGTAGCCAGACGCGACTCAGAGGGTACACCCCGACAGCTCAGAAGAACGCGAAGACGTTCAGAAGGGGGCGGAGAGTGGACGAACACGCGGTGACGTTTTCACTCGAGCTGTCTCGCGTGGCCGGAGCCCGCTCATGGCGGCGGGGGGAGGCAACAGGGCACACCACCAGCAGTCAGTCGTCAATGTGGTTATTTTCACGGAGGAGTTGTCTCATCTACATGGTTCAGCGAAGGAATTCGCCAAAGCCTTGAGCGTCACGTGAACTGTTCACGTACGTTCCTGCTGACAGTGGCTACGCACGGTGAAGATGGAGGGATCGATGGCCGCTGGCGTGGTGGATGGTGACCGGGTGATTGATTCCAAACGATCGCCGGTATTCTCTGCCGAGGAGACTCTCCCGCGTCTGGTTTCTGTGTAAACAATTGGTATGGTGACTTAAAAAATATCACAGCGGAAAATATTCAGGTGATACCGGACCTCGTCGACGAACTAGAAGCAGTGGGCATCATCGTCAACAGGGGGAAGAGCTCAGCACTTCCTCCACCAGGGCACGACGTGACACCAGCAGGAAGGAGGCTACTTGGCGATGCAGGCCTACCGATTGCGGAGGAGGGCATCACAGTTGTGGGAGTCCCCATTGGGACGGATGCCTACGTCGAGGATTTCGCAATGAAAGTGATGACTGAAGGGGGTGCAGACAAGCTTGCTCGCATGCTGGTGNAATGAAAGTGATAACTGAAGGGGGTGCAGACAAGCTTGCTCGCATGCTGGTGCGCATGCCAGACAAACAGGTGGCTCACCTCGTCACATCACAATCGCTGACACAGCGATCCGGATATATCGAGAGAGGCATCAGTCATAAGCTAGTGAGAGGGCCTTGTGCACGCCTGGACAATATGGTGATGTGGGTCCTAAAGACAACGATGGGGCTCAGAGATACCGAAGACGAAGACGAGTTCTTCCAAGACGACTGCCAGCCTGACCGCTTCAAGCTAAAGCCCTATCAACAAGCCCAGGCGCGCCTGTCGACAGGAGCCGGAAGACTAGGATTACCAGCAGCCGTTATGCGAAGGTTCTCAGCTTCTCTGAGTAACCTAGTCGGCACCCTTCCTACGGTTATAGCCGCGTTACGGGGTCCATTGGGAGAGTCGGTGAGAGTTCGGATACCGGGAACCGTGTTGGTGGAGCGGATGGGGGACGCTATCAAAGAACTCAACCAGGAGCATGGAGTATCGGTGGAGATTCTGAAGGGGATCCTTCCCCCGTCATGGGTTGAGTGGGCCTTAGAACCGCCAGGAGAAACCGGAAGGCGTCAGCCCACCGTTGCAGAACTGGCAGCACACGATGGGGAATCTACTACGCCGAGGAAAGCCCAGCACAAACTGGGCAAGGCGGTTAACAAGATACAACTTGAAAATTTCATGGAGTCTCTGGAGCACCTCCCCCAGGAGGCGGTACCACCCACGCGGGACAACCCCTACGGAGGTCAAGAGGCCAGGAACATGGCATACGCACGAACGAGAAGCTCGCAAGGGCAAGGGGGACACGCGTTCCTGAGAGCGGCTCCCACCGACCGAGCTCGAGAGATTCCATCGAACGACTTCGTCTACGCGACGAGACGCGCCTTGGGAAATGAAGAATTCTTGGCGGAACGATGTCCCAGGTGCCACAGAGGCAGGGAAGGCGAGATCATCACAACGGTGCACGCAAGGACCTGTC